ACCATTCGTCAGTGACAAAGGAGTCAGCAAACTGTTGAAAAACAGAGAGCTTGTAATAATGAAAAAAGGACAGAGTTTTGTAACCAATCGCTTATTTTCTTTTAAAAACACATAACCACATTAACTTTTTTGCTTTATACAACCATCTAGAAACTATAAAACAGTACCACATTGTGCATTTAACCTACTTATCAAGAAGGGAACTCCACACTTCATAAGAATTCTACCCATATAAGGAAAAAGGAGACAGATAGTAGCATAGTCACAGGTACAACATGAGTCCAAGCAAGCATCATTTCTTTGACGTCACCTTTTCCATTTACCAGAGTGGAGAGAGTAAGAAAGCAAGGGAGGAAAGAGGGAAAGAGCAACCACAGAGACTAATCACATTCCAGAATTACTTTTGACAACTATAGCTCAGGGTTTCATAGCATCGTTTGACCAACACAATGTAGTAGGGGGTGAAGGAAACGTGAGTAGAGGGAAGAGGGTTTGAAAAGACAGATACATTTTTCACTCTATTCTCCCTCCTAAATACTCTTCAATGATACGAGTTTTTGTGCTGATCTGGAAAATAGCCAGGAATTAATCTTCACAATGTGATAAAGCTTAAGAGTTCTGCTCTTTTTGCAAATGTGAGTTGCTCACTATTTCACCGTACAGTTCACAATAATGTCATGTCAGTTATTTGTTTAGGATTCCCCAGTCTTTCTCCCTATTTCTCCCCATGCTGGTGCTGCTATAGGACACATAGGGAAGTGTGGTAGTGACTTTCAGGATAATGACAAAAGGGTAGTAAGATGGAATTCTCGCCCTTTCTTAGAAGTCTGTATCTTTCTGATAATCACTCTTCCCTCTGGTTTGTGGTGCTTCAGAGGAAAGGGATAGGCAGAACTAAGGTAATACGGTGGAAGTTTAGTCAAGTCACCGGTTCTAAGGTACACAAGATGAGACTGTGTAGTTAGCAGACACACGGAATCCAAGGCAAACAATGGGTATTTGATTGTCCTTCTTAGGTTGATGGCACCATAAAAAAACTGAAGGTGGCTTTGATTTAATAATAAAATAAACCATAGGTCTGCATGAGGAAACATACTTCAGTTGAAAATGAGTGTACTGTTCTCTTCAGAGGAAACTTTCACCTTATCTCTCTTACTTCCTCTTCCACCTTAAGTATAGTTTGAGATGTTTTGATGGGGCGACACGATTAGTTTTGCCAATTCATGTAAGACAGGTATTATGAGCCATAACATCAGCAGGCTCTCCTCCCTTCCCAGGTAAACTTCTCATCTTGTTAAATTCTTCCAAATCTAAAAGATGCTTTTACATTCTCCTGTCTTGTGAGCAGGGTGTGGATTAATGCCGGTTTGTGGCAATGACTAGTACAAATTTCTTATGCTTTAACATGATAGTCAGCTCTGTCCCACATCACCACTGTGCTGACACTTTACAGACTTAAACTACAATGCAGAAAGTTAGTAGCTTTACTAAAATTTACTGTTAAGACTGCCTGAAATGCAGAAATCTATGTACTTACAAAATGTTTCAACTAATCATCACAAGAAATTTAGACTCATCATGAAGAGAAAATAAACTAAGCTGATAAATTTGACTTATTCTTACTCAACTTCTTCCAAAGTTCTACTAGAATTTTTGTCTTAGTTGCTGTAGATCTATGTCATGATCTACATGATACTGTTTTTTAAAAGTTTAGAACATTCTAATTTAAAAAATTTTAATGTTACATATAGCAAGTATTGCCTTTATTTGTGGGTTAGGCAAATTTTGTGCAAACTACTAAAGAACACAATAATCTGAGATTTATCAAATAAATGGCAATTATTTCAAAGAATCCAAAGTCTATGAACAATGCCATTGATAGGGCTATTTTCTACATTTTTTCCCCTAAGGTAAGAAATTTTTTAGTCATTGCTAAGAAAATTCCATTTGGGCATAAAGAACTATGTCCTGAATAATGCAAAGTAATGGAAAAAAATGAGAGAATACAGGCGGGTTTCTATCAGCAATAGAAATACTGAAAAAAAAAAAAAAAAGTCAAGAGAGGGAGCACCTCCATGTCTCTAAGCTCACAGACCTTCTGAACTGCCCTGCTTTCCTGCCAAGTCCCAACATGATAGTGCTCTTCTGAGGTTGCCACAATTGTTTTCTCTTCCATTAAATACCTACTAATCTGAAGCCTGTATGACTCAGTAAACGGTCACTCTTTTCTACTTCTGTTTCAGTTCATCTGTTAAGGATAAACTTTCTTTACTTATCATGGACCATGGTGGGTGGAAGTACAAGTTACATCTAGCGAAATCGCCATTAAAATCTTGGAACTCTACATTGAGAATACTAGGAAGGTACAAATCTTAGGAGCCGAGTTCCATTTTCCTACTTTAAGTCACTGCTGAGGCAATTAACATTTCCTCTCAATTCCTCCTGAACTGGAATTTAAGCAGCTTGCTAAAGGAGTCCAGTGGTAGAAAGTTATAGATTCTCAACTTCTTCCTGATCTTAAAAGCAACCATGATAGCCTGACTCAAATGACTTAGCCTCTAATCATTTTAATATCTCTGTATGATATGAAATCAACGACTCCATTTTAATGGGACAAGGAGTCTGAAATACAGATGCTTATTTGTGCATAGAAAATAAACCACTTCTGTTGCCTAAATTTTCCATACACATCAATGCAGCCTTTCAATATCATAAAATGAAAAATCAATTTTACCCTTTTATTTGTAACTTTTCATTCTTTGGGGAGTATTTTAACTCATTTTTATTGAGCATTTCTCAACTAAAAAAAAAAAAAGAAACTAGAATTTCTAACCCTAAAATCAGATGAACTTTTACTTTTATTTAGATTGCTGCTTCCTTAAAATGACTCTGAGATAGTCATTTCCTAAGAGTTCAAATGAGACTTTCAGTGTTTAGGAGTTATCACTTTAATTAAAAAAATGCACACTGCCTTTTTTGAAGAAAACATGTAAATGTATACTGTCTCCCAAACTGCTTCCTCTTGATGAGGAATAGTCCTCTTTTCTCTTTGCAGTTTTAGGAGAAACAAAGTTGTGGGTTTAAATAAGTATTTGAACATCTGTCAAGGTAAGTTGAGTTATACAAAATCCTATCACTCTTGAACAGATTATGCTAATAAGATAAGTCTTAGGAAAAGGAATATATTCTGACATTGTATTGTCTATGAAAAAATAATACTGATTAGGGTTAAGAATCCTAACAGTTGAATAAAGACCAAACTGGCCACCAAATATACGTAAGTAAAAACACTGGTAAGTTCAAAAGAGAAGTTAACTGTCAGATTTATGTGTGTCGCTACAAAGGTTAACTGACAGAGAATCAAGTTGACAATTCCAATTGCTCTGGATACAAATTAGTACCACCACTTTTATTTATACAAGAAATGACTGGTCCACTGGACTTATCTACTATAACTCAGTAATAATTACTGCTATTTCTTGATAGACCAGTTATATTTCCCCCATAAAATTAAAAAACAGAACAGTAAGGGAAAAAAACTCCCAAGTTTAAATAATGCAACTTTTAGCTTTTTAAGGGTCATTATAAATTGTTACCAATGATTGTTATAAATTATTTAAACTTAAAAAAAAATCAAACTTTTCCTCTTCGGTTTTGGGTCAAGGAATGTGCTTGGCAAAAACACACACAAAATAAGTCACAAAATAGTATTATTTTTCTGGGAAAAATGAATTCCCAATTATGAAAGGGAACAAATTTGGGGAGCTCATTGGAAGAAAGATGGAAAAATCTTTTTTTATAAAAATACTATTTGTAAATGGATAGAAATTTGGTAGTAACAGTAACTTGAATGTAATCTACTGAGATTATGATAGAAATCAGCAGACATGTGGTCTAGTGACCACATGGAAGAAGATGACAAAGAAAACTATGTTAAAGGGCAGTAACCATGCTTTGAAGACTAAGTGGTAATAGCTGCCTTTCCACCTATATACTGCTTCTTTATCTCAGATTAAGCTGAAAATGACAGAAGTAATTTACTTTTGTGAATCCAAAGGATGTTAACTTTGGAATCTTCATCTGCATTTGGGTGGGAAGAATCAAAACACACTTTTACTTTTTTCTTGGTATTCATATAATATAAAATGCTAAGTTTAATGCCAACCACATTCAAGAAATTAAAATCGCTTATGATTTTTGGGTTTATTTAGATGTTTGGAACACAGGAAAGAAATGAGACAAAACAAAGAAGTGAAAGTGGGCATTCGTACAGCCCATAATAGTATGAGATGACTAAGAAATATATTTTTTTGTTTAGATTTCCCAATTTTCCACCAAGGGAGGGCACGGAATCCAATGTTCATTCTTTAAATCTACTGGGGGAAATGGCTGCAAAGGTGTTTTTCATTAATGTATTGTGAAAGAGAAAGGATACTTGTTCTATGCTCTCAAAAACATGGTTTCCCCAAGAGACCTGTTTAATAAAGTAACCAAGCCCAGATGAAAAACTATCCAATGAGGGTGCAAGGGTATATGAAATAGTGCTGTCTTCTAATTTAGTTAGTATAATTTATACTTCATTATCCTACATGCTGAAGCATATGAAGGCTTTTAAAACTTCAGTTGTTATGGTTCAAATATGGCCAAATGTATTCTGTATCTGTTACTTAAATAAAAAAAAAAAAGTACTAGACCTCATAAATTTGAGTGGAAGTATGTGGATGCTTCGTTATGAGAGACAGAATTTCAAAGCAGCAGCAACTTAAAAATTAGTAATGAAACTTTGGCTTAAAATTAAGAAGTCAAACTGGTGCAAGTTGTTTCATGAGAGGTATTGTGGGACTGAACCCTCATAAATGATATCCAGCTCTTTCATTGTTATCACCTTCATTGCACAGGAGTTATAGCATTCTTTTATGGTTAAGTTTCATAAATAATGAGAAAACTATATGTAACAAATACATCGCATTTCCCACCCACCCAGCAACCCTCCCCAAAATAAGAAAAGTTACATCAAATTAAAAAGTAGCTTCATGAATGAAGGTACTGCTCTAAGTTGCACTTTCCCTGCAAGTGCAGCCAGTGCTTTTGCGCTGGGTATGAAGGAAAGGAAAACTTCTCCACTTTAACTGACAAAAAATTTAAAAACCAATGTCCGGTTTCAACCAGTCAAAACCGGGCCAAGCAGAAGCCGAGTTATCTCGGTACTGTCCCATCAGAGGGTCCTTGCAATGCCTGTTGTTCATCCTGATAGGTATCTGTGTCCTTGTGATTGTAAACAATCCATAAGATACTATTTTTTTGTTCCTTAAAATGTCCTCTGATTGGCAAATGAAGTATCTGTTTTAAAAATAGAAAATGAAAATTAAACCAGAAGAAAAGAAAAGAAACACAGTGAGCTTGTTTGGAGTCCATAGGATCCGATCTGGAAGAGCTCGGAAAATGTGTTATGTGTCTTCTCCTGTTTTCGGCTGGAAAGGTATTAGAGGTTGCGTTGGTCGAGGAAAGAATTGTAGAATAGGAAACCCAAGGATGTTAATCTAGACTTCAGAGGATTCAAGTGTTAGCTTCATCATCTGTGTCTTCTATCAATACCTTAGTGTCACGAGTCTTGGATCTGGTGGTAATAAAGGGGAGAAAATGACATGGTCCATTACTAAAATACAAACACATCTATCAGTGTTAGGTACATTTCCAATCTTCCCACCATTAAAAATACATCCTAAAAAGGTACTACATATACTGTACCAGATGGATGATTTTCATAGTTTCATATTCAATAAGTATCCAGTATTATTGGAAAAACTAAGAAACTAGATGGCAATAAAAACAATCGACAGTTATACATAGCAGTATTCTGGAGTAAGTTCTGAGTTTATGTACTGACTTTGATTTTATGATGTAAGTTCTTTGAATGCCAACTTTCATCTCAATGAAGTAGGAATAATAATATATATTTCACAGACTACTACATTCACTTTATGGAGAGTGTGAACATCAAGTGAGAAAATGGGTGCAAAAAGCATCAGTAAAGCATCAATTGCAAGGAACTATGATGAAGATAATAGATTTAATGCCTTTTAAGGTATGCAGGACAGCCTAAGAGAGTTAGCCAGCAGAAAATATGCCTTCTCCCCTCCACCCAAGGAGAGGCAAGACAGCTTTTTGTTTTCTAACAGTCAACAAAATCTGATGTACATGAGGGAGGAAATTCAATCCAAATTATGTTAGGGAGTCCAATTAGGATCAACTGACTGAAGTTCTAGTGAAGTATGTTTTAGCCCAACATAAGCTGTTCTATCATGCAAACAATCGAATGAAAATGAGATGCATAGTTAACTAATTTCATTATCACAGATGATTGTTAATCAGCATATTACCATCTCTTCAGGATGCTAGAGAAGAAGAGATTCTTGTACTGGATAAAAACATTCTGCACCATTTCACTTGGTGAAATAGGTCTTTTTATTCCTAGTTGAGTAAGGTGGGAATTGACATTCAAAAATGTTAAGGGTGTGTTATATAGGTTGTTGTGAATCATAAAGTCAGTACTCAAAACTTTGATATTATTTGATTCCCTGCCCTTTCTGTGGCATATGGATTGCTCCACTGTTCTGTATGTCCTCTTCTGGTCCTCCTTTATCCACTGAACACCTGAAATTTAACATAATGATGAACCATTGCTAAAGAGTCCCCTTGATTGTGAAGCAGAAACAGTATATACTTGCACTGCCCTCTGCTGGTAACTAAAAGGACTTTCAAAGTTAGGAGGCCAAACCGATAACCACCCTTAGACGTTGTCTTCCAGCTCTTCATGCCCTTACCTTGCTGACCCTAACAGTTATTCCCACATCCCTCCTCCTCTGACCATTTTTCCCTGTCCCTTTGGTTTATTCTTTTTTCTTTCATCTGTATTTGTTCCCTGAGGCCCACTTCCTTGCTCTCTTTTTCTTTTATCTACCTTTTCTTCAGATAAATTCTAACTTCTATCTAAAGCTTAGGCAAGTTCTATTCTACTCCCACATCCCATGGGTTACCATTAGCAGCTCCTATTTTTCACTTCCTTTAAAACACCACCTTACATCCCTTTTAGTTCTATTGTAAGTACACTAACCCTAATCTTCACTATACCATACTTAAGACCAGTGCAATGTGTTAGCTTAACAGTCTTCTGACCTTCAGTTTCCCTTCCAAACATATCCTGCCATTAAATATTACTAAAACTACTTCCACAATGCCATTATTCTATGAAAAATTCTCTGTGGCTCCTTCTTGCTATAAGCTGCACATTCAGCTTTCATGTATTGCGATCACACTTCATTTATTCAGTTAAATTTTTCTTACTAAAGTACTAGTCATGTGATTTTTTTTTCTTTTGGACCCCCCCCATGATTTTCACCCTTATGTCTTTACTGTGCCTCTAGTCTACAGATACTCCCTTACCCTTTAGAAAATTGCTTATGACCAACTTAAATCTCTTTCATTTCAGTCACTGAAATATCTACTATTTCTAAATTTCAAATGCAGCCACAGTATAGCCTAGATTTATTACGACTTTAGAACATATAAAGCCAATATTGATTTAAAAACACTGCTATAGGTATTTTTAGTAGGAAGATAGTAACAGCTTATGATTATGAGGCCTTCCTGTGAGAAAATTCCATGATTACAAATTTAATCCACTTAACACCTTATGAGTAAAGATTCTGTTAATCTCAATTTACAGATGAGGGATAATATAGAGAATTATCTATATTAATCTGGCCAAGGTTATATAAATGGCAATCGCTGAGCCAGGATTCCTCAAGTTTAAAACTTAAGAACTTCTGTATGCAAAACAGATTATTCTTTTAACAATTTTTCTCGACAATGTACTTGTTATGACAAATTAACAGATGTTAAAACATTAATTAATGATTATTTCCACACATTCATTAAGATCTCCTATAGATTGGATCATAGGAATCTGCTGTTATTGCTGTTTGTTTTTTTTTTCTGTAGTTGTAAATGATTATCAAAGCAACTTGATTTTGGTGCAACCTGAGAGTGTCTTAGCTTAAACATCATCCAATGCAAACACCAGAAAGAAATTCACCTCACATTAGCTAAACCATACTTACTGAGAAGCGAGGCGAGGACGGCGCAGGGATATGCTCTGGCTGGACTTCCATGGCCGGTTCTTCTGGCGATTTCGCACCCCGTCATCCTGGTCCATCATCTGCTCTAAGAGCGTCTGGTCATCTGCATTCAGGGGGGCCACAGAGATGTCCCGCACAGCACGGAATTCACCACAGTTATTCAGATGTTCATTCTCCAGGCGAAAGAAGTTCCATACAAATCGCCTTAGCAAAGAATAAGCAAATTATAAAATTTGAACATACTACTAGAACCTGCATATTTCCCTGTGTTTACTGATGGAAACAATAACAAGGTTGTTTAGAATATTAAAGTAAAATCATAAAAGATGGTGTGGTGGTGGGAGAAGGGAACAAGCAAAAAAATTAGGTAAAAGGAACTTAAGATTCAGAATTTAAGAGGTCTATTCTCTCACTTTATTTAAAAATACTTACTGAATGACTATCATATAACAGGAAAAGGCATTGTACAAGACAAAGTCTGCCCGTATGGACTATAATGTTTAGTTCTCTGAAGAAAATAAAGCAAACCAAAAGAGTAGAGCATATTTCTCTGAAAAGATGGCATTAGCAGTAAACTGAATGATTCAAGGAAGTGACTCTCATAAGCTCTCAAATAAAAGTGTCTCAGGCAAAGGAAATGCCATGCCTAAAATGTTGAAAGACCTTTGGTGTATTGCCACAACAGCAACAACATCGGTGGGGCTGGAGAGGAATAATGAGGTTAAAATATCAGGAGATAAGAACGTAAAGGTAGAAAAGCACATGATGCACAGAGGACTCTGTTAATAGTAATAAAGAACTTAGACTTGAAGTGTGATGAAAAACATGGAGAATGGTGTTTGTTAGAAAAAGATTATCCTATCCTTTGTACTGCGAACAGAGAATGGGAAATAGGACTAGGAGAAGACCAATTAGAATACAGTTGTAGTGGTTCAGAAAAGAGATAGCAGAAACTTAGATTAAGAGAGTAATAACATGCAGCACAATTTACAGTAGGTAAACTATGGAAGCAACCCAGATGCCCAAAAATAGATGACTGGATCAAGAAGATGTCGTATATTTACACAATGGAGTATTGCTCAGCAACCAAGAAGAATAAACTCATGCCCTTTGCAGTAACATGGGTGGAGCTGCCTCAGTGAAATAAGCCAGAAAGAAAAAGAAACACATTGAATGAATGGCCTCACTTACAGGAGGAATGGAGAAAAGACAAAAAAAGAATCAGAAAAACAAGTAACTACAATAAAAGTAAAAATCAAAATCACCAAGCAATTGCGATCAGAGGAAGGAGAAGGACCAGGCCAGGAGTGGGAAGAGCAAGAGGGACTATGCTAAAAAGAGCAGCACAGGTGAACTGGTGGTGGGAATTTCAAGGGAAATCATACATTTACAAAAATGAAGGATTATGTAATGAATATATTTAGAAAATGATTTCACATTAAAAAAAAGATGGTAATAACTGATAAAAACTTGTAAGATGGTAAGAACTGATGAGAAATAGATTTTACAGCAGACTTTCTATATGGAAAAATTTACTCCAACCCCACTGATTCAATATTGTTTGTTAAAGGGCATCTTTTACTCTACTGCTAGTTAGCTATCTTTATCATAAGGCAGGCAGTGTCAATATATGTGTGGATCTGTTTCTGAACTATTCTGTTCCAAAGGACTATCTATTTTACCAACACCACATGCTGTGTTAACTATTGCAGCAAGATAGTAAGTCCTGATATTTTAGAATGGAAGTCCTTTAACTTTGTTCAAGAGTGTCTTGGCTATTACTGATCCTTACTGTCTCTATATAAATTGTAGGAGTGGCTTGTCAATTTTCACATATCTTTCATTACATTGATTCCTAGGTGGTTGAATAATATGAAGCTATATTAAATGGCAAGTTTTAAAAATATTGTATTTTCAGTTATTTATGGCATTTTAGAACAATATACAATTTATATTGACCTTATATTCAGAGACATAGTTATAGTCATTCTAACAGGTTATGTGTACATTCTTTTTTTTTTTTTAAAGATTTATTTATTTGTGCATACAGAACTGGAGTACAGGCCAGAGGCTCAGGGGTGGTGAGAGGTTTCACCAGAGACAGAGTGGGGAACAGAACAGGCAGATCAATGAAGTACACTGCTGAGGGGAGCAGTGGGTGGGTCAGGAGAGGTCTGCCACACCACGTGGTCACCTCCAGGGCAGGAGGGAATCGAACTCATGCGAGGCGGCTTTAGATTCTCAGTGCTGTGCTTTAACCTGCTGCGCCACCAGGGAGGGCCCTATGTGTACATTCTTTTGAATTTTTTTTGCACATGCAATCATTCCACTGTGATTATAGCTTTGTTTTCTTTTTCTTTTCCAATCCAATCACTTTCTCCCTGTCACTGTACCAGCTACACCTGAAGAATGATGTTAAATAGAATGTTAGAGCAGGCATACTGATCTCATTCCTAATATCAAGGAAGAGCTTATAGTGTTTTATCATTAAATATGATCTTTATATTCTCTGCTTTTTTTCATAAATAGGTACTGATTTTTGGCAATATTTCTACATGTATTTAGTATTTTCTTCCTCTTTGGTCTATTGGTGAGTTTCAGATTTTTAAAAAAATGATTTTAAAAAATTTTTATTTATGCGTACAAGAGCTGGGATGTAGGCAAGAGGTACAGAGGTGTGTGTGTGTGTGTGTGTGTGTAAGACAATTCACTAGAGACACAGTGTGGAGCAGAACAGGCAGACCTTCTGAAATACACTACTGAGATGAGTAGTGGGTGAGACAGGAGAGGTCTGTTGCACCATATGGGTTAGCTCCATGGCCAGGGATCGAACTCATGCCACAGTGGCTGGAGATAGCACTGACATGTTAACCCCTTCATCATGAGGGAGGCCCCAGATAGATTTTTTAATTGAAATCTTATTTTCCTAGACTAACTCAGCTAGGAAGTTATTATCCTTTTGGCATATTCTTGGATTCATTAAATAATCTTGTTCATAATTTTTTGTATCTGTGTGAGACAGATCAGTCTTCCTTGGGATGTTCTTGTGTGTTTAGATATCAAAGTCATTGTGGTTACATAGAAAGAACATGGAAATATTCTTTTTAATCTTCCTTTTCCCTGGAATATTCTATATAGAACTGGTATTTCTTTCTTATATATTGAAAGGATTTCCTTGGTCTGGATTTGGTAAACCGTGCTTTTTGAAGAATTTGTCCATTTCATTTAAAGTTATATATATATTGGCTTAAAATTGCTCATGGTATTGTTTTATGCTTTTAAAATACTTTAGGATATAGGAATTTGTAATTCTGTGCTTTCTTTTCTATTTTTGCTTGAGCAATCTAGTTTCAACATTTTATCAATTTTTAGTCTTTTAAAAGAACTTTGGACTTATTTAACTTTCTCTACTGCATGTTTTCAGTTCTTTACATTTCCTATGCTCTATTTTTTTTTTTAATTACTTTAAAAAAATATTTTAGGCTCTCCCTGGTGGCGCAGCGGGTTAAAGCACAGCATTAAGAAGCTAAAGCCACTTCCGCATGAGTTCAATTCCTGCCTGCCCTGGAGGTGACCACATGGCATGGCAGACCTCTCCTGACCCGCCCGCTGCTCCCCTCAGCGGTGTACTTCACTGAACTGCCTGTTCGGCTCCCCACTCTGTCTTTGGTGAAGCCTTTCACCGCTCCTGAGCCTCTGGCCTGTACCCCAGTTCTGTATGCACAAATAAATAAATCTTTAAAAAAATTGTATTGTCTTAAAAGTAATGATGACTTTTTAAGAATTTTATTTATTTATAATTATTTTACATCACTATTCATTTTAAAGCATTATTTACTTCCCACCTGCCCTCAGGTGTAGACCCCACAGAACTTCACCCCTCCCCCACAGTTCACAGGTGCAATATCACTAGAGTCCCTTATGTGCCTCCCTCTATCAGTAGCTATTTTAACTTTGTGAGAATAATCTTAGTCCTTTAGTGTAGGACTTTTCAATTCTGGGGCTAATGAGAAAGTATGAGAAAGCTGGGAAATTTTAAGCTGAGTCTCAAGTATAAATTTGAAGAAATTATAATCTGCAAGTATTGGACATCTTTAGGTAAACAGAATCTTTGATAAACTTCTTGATTGGTTGCTTACCGGAAAACCTCAAGGGGAGCAAAGACAGTAGCAATGATGTCTCCAGTATGAGGCAACAAGGTCGTGGAGGTAATTGAGATTTGGATAGTCCAAGCAAAGCGCAATATCACATCTTCTATGATGGCACAGTAGTAATAGGCCTGAGGTATAAGAAGGAAACTGAGTACATGTACAATTACATTCCTCACTAATAAAACATACCTAGCACAGCAACGAAAGTCACATGTGTCCCACCAATAAGCAAAGAGGTTAAAGAACAAAGAAGAGTTTTATTTTTATTTTATATTTTAAGAAGATTTTACCACTGTTTTTCTTAACTAGCGCAATATTCAAAATAAACTTTATTAAATTTTAGTGATCATTTAACAAACATAGTTCATTTCCATGCTGTATACCAGGTTTTCTTCTAGGCCACCAGAGAAAAACAAGTCAAGTGGGATACTTGATCTGACTGGATTATATTCTAACATATACAATATACATTACTGATACAAAAGGTAATATTAGAAAAGATAAGTAGATTAACTGTTCTTTGTATTTTTATTTTCAAATTGCCTTACCCTGCATTGAAAGAAGTTTTGCCTTCTTTTTTGATATTAGTAATTGTAATTAAATTTGAATTTCAAAACCATGGTTGAATTTTTACCATGGTTTTACCATATTACTATCCAGTATTTAGGAACGCAGTTTTAGCTACACAGAAATCTTAAATACTTAACCTGTACAAAACTGCTACTAATAGATTTGCTCATTATTAATCTCTGGGCAACAAATTTTAAAATACATAGGTAAAAGTAATGGCATTATGGGAACTAGAGCTGCTATACCATAGTATTTATTTAAAAAGTAACAAATTATGTTAAAAGACTAGTTATGCTGGAAGACTATTAACAAAAAAGCAAACAGTAGTCTCCTTGATACTTTTTCTTCCCATTCTCCAGTCTTGTGACATTTTAAAAATTTGTGGCTATTTTTCCATATTTCTACTCCACATTTCCAAATAATGTGTACAAATGGCTATATTTTGATTAACCAAGTGTAAACATTATATTGACTACTTATTACAGTAGGTTTTAAGAAGATTTTTAATATACTAACATGTATTAGTTTCCCTCCCCATTCATTCAATATAATAATAATACAAGTTTTGGTTAAGTCCACATTCAGTGAAATTATTATTAGACCTATGTGAAGAACTATAATTTCATGTGTCTTTAAATCATCAGTCTTAAGCTGGACCACAGTTGACTGATGTGGGGGCTGATGTGAAATTTTCTGGGAGGAATAGAACTTGAAGCCAAGAGGCAGGAAAGGTGAGTTTCAATATAGATATAACAAAAATACTGTGTGCTGTTGAATGTTAGGCATTAGTAATTCTTAGGAAATGATTTCAATGTTCATATGGGGCTGTGTTCTTATGTTTAAATATAACTCCACTGAAAACTACGAATAGTTTCTTTTAAGTAACTATGTTTGCCTTTTTATTATTATTATTTTAAAAGATTTATTTTTATTTATTTGTGCATACAGAACTGTGGTACAGGCCAGAGGCTCAGAGGCAGTGAGAGGCTTCACCAGAGACAGAGTGGGGAACAGAACAGGCAGATCGACTAAGTACACTACTGAGGGGAGCAGTGGGCGGGTCAGGAGAGGTCTGCCACACCATGTGGTCACCTCCGAGGCAGGCGGGAATCAAACTCATGTGGAAGTGGCTTTAGATTCTCAGTGCTGTGCTTTAACCCGCTGCGCCACCAGGGAGGGCCTGTGTTTGCCTTTTTAAAACTGAAAGGGATATGAGCAAGTTTACAGAACATTTTTGATATAAATTTACAAATTATAATAGAGGAATGCATGTGTTTCATTTTCTAATGTCATGAAAATATGTAATAATAAACACTGAACATTGAAGGAGCCTGTCCACTAATTTTATTACACAGAAACAAATGTTTTATTTAAAAGGGAGAATGGATTAACATTTATGTAAAGAGATAAACAGTTCATCTAAGAATAGGCATCACAAGAAATAAATGTGTTGTATATCTCAGTAAATCACATACATTTGGTGAGTACAAAATGACCACCTTTAGCTGAGCTCATGTTTGTTCTTACTAATGGTGGGTTTCTTTACAAATGAAATTTATAATATATATATACATATATATATAGTCTTCGTCATATAAATGTGTACATTGGGATTGTTGTATTATAACTATACAGTTCTAGTTAGATTAAAGAAAATATCATTCTCAATGAAAAGCCCCTTTTATGTCTTCATATGCTTATCTGAGGCTACCTACAAAGGCATTCTTCTATCCATTTTCTTATCATTTATATTCAATCCCCATACTTGAAAACAGCTTTCCCTACTCACCAATTGAATATTATATACCCACATAATGTAATGTTGACAGGTGACATACAATCAAAGATTAGTCATCCAATTTATACTCCCCTCTCCATCGCATTTTAGAACATGGAAACAATTAAAAGATAATTCAGTATAATACCTGATCTTACTGAAGAAACTGAACTGTAGTTTGGTTACCTAGTTATACAATGAGCTAGTGAGAAAGCTAGAATTCTATTTTAATTTTTTTCAACATTTGGGTAAAGATATTCTTGATATTTTTAATTTGATATTCTCTTATTTTCATTCACATATAGGTAAAAACCATAAAATAATTCTTAGGGAATTAAGTATACTTTTGGATTGAATTGCCACTTGATTTTAATAAACAATGGTTGAAATAAATGATTCTTTTTTTTTTCTTAAAGATTTATTTGTGCATACAGAACTGGGGTACAGGCCAGAGGCTCACGGGTGGCGAGAGACTTCACCAGAGACAGAGTGGGGAGCAGAACAGGCAGATTGACAAAGTACACTGCTGAGGGGAGCAGCGGGCGGGTCAGGAGAGGCCTGCTGCACCATGTGGTCACCTCCAGGGCAGGCGGGAATCGAACTCATGCGGAAGTGGCTTTATCTTCTCAGTGCAGTGCTTTAACCCTCTGCGCCACCAGGGAGGGCCGAAATAAATGATTCTTTTGGTGCACTCAGAGTTAGGTATTTCCTTTCCTTTTTGCTCAGTAAGCCAAATTCATTCATTCTACAAATGTTAAATCTACTATATACTAGGAATTGATGCATAAACAGGTAATATAAAATGATAACTGCATTGTGGGAAGTTTGTAGTGGATAAAACTGGATCAAGGCCCTTCCTGGTGGCTCAGCGGGTTAAAGCGCTGCACTAAGAAGCTAAAGTCACTTCCGCATGAGTTCGATTCCGGCCTGCCCCGGAGGAGGTGATCCACATGGCGAGGCAGACCTCTCCTGACCCGGCCGCTGCTCCCCTCAGCAGTGTACTTCGTCGATCTCCCTGTTCTGCTCCCCTCTCTGTCTCTGGTGAATCCTCTCACCTCCCCCATCTCTGGCCTGTACCCCAGTTCTATATGAATAAATACATAAAAAAAAATCTTTAAAAAAAAAAAAACTCGATCAAGATAAATGTCTAAATATGCTTGGAGAAATAAAGGCTTCACTTTAAACTGAGGAAAAGGAATTTGCAAGGCACACAAAATGAGGACTATTTGAGGGAGGGAACTATATATTCAAAAATAAATCATATATCATAGTAAAGTTGTTTATTCCCCTATTTATAGTCTTTATCACATTAAATCACAGTATGTTTACTTATCTGTTTAGAATCTAGTTTATGACTTCTTGAGAACCAGAATTTTACTTTATTTTCCCAAGTACCTAGCATACAGTAAATAACTCATACATTTTTGCTGACTAACTGAAATAGTATTTTCTTGAAATTTTTTTCTAATTACATAAAGGGATTGGATCCTAATTATAATAGGGTTTAGTAGGTAGTAACCTAAGTCTTTTTAAAGCAAACATAACATACTCTTTTTGTACATACTTTTTGGGGATATACAATCTCTTCCCGGAGGAAGGTGTTTTCTCCAGCATTCTTATCAAAGAGACCCCAGTCCATCTTTAGATCCCAGATGAGGGTATAGCACGAACTGATGATACAAAAGACGATCCACAGATAAAAGAACACCATGGTGTCTAAGTGATTTTGCTCTGAAGAAAGAAAAAGGAAGGGAAAAAGAGAATTACTAGATTTAAGTAAAATTTTTTCATTAAATGAAAGTAATTAAAAATACTTTATATAGTTCTACAAAGGAAGATTTAAACAAATCTCCTTAGCAGAATTATTGTCTAAAAAACTTTAAATAAGGTTTTTCAATTTTCCTAAAGTAATCCAAAGTAATCCAAACATTTAATGAGTAAAATTTTTTTAACAGGCGCATTTGTTAAAAAAAGTAATCACCAAACATTTAATGAGTAAAATTTTTTTAACAGTCCAAAGTAATCACCAAACATTTAATGAGTAAAATTTTTTTAACAGGCGCATTTGTAGTTTTAGAGTCTATGCTCAATACATAAAAATTGAAATAATTGTAAAGGAGATTTTGAACGTTACAAGATGTCAAACTTTTACCACCAGGTGGCAGCTTAGAGTCAAAGATGAAAATAGAAAACTAGTAAGAATATATTTGCTTAGGGAAATTCTTGGACTGTTTTTATTTTAGAACAACATTTCCTTCATTTATTGTGCACTTAGATCTTGTTGATACTAACTGTGATAACAATTGGTCATTTTAATTATAGATGAAATGTCATAAAGCAACAGATTGATGAGATATAACCTTAAGGACTTATGTGAAAGCAAATCACAAAGCCAAAAATGGCATTTTTTTCCTGTTCTTTCAGAGGCTGGTTATTGATACAAAGGCCAAATTTGACTTTATGCTGATAACACTGTAAAGTAACTTTTGGCCTTATGCTGAAATTATAAAGTATACTAAATCAGAATGAAAATAATCTCAAGTATAGGTATACAATTAGCCTTCTTTGAATCGTAAGAGCTCCATATTTTCTTTAGTGACATTCTTCTTTGCTGAGTTCAAGTCTCATCATGATGTTTTCTGTGTCCTCCAGGATACAGATAAGTAATTACAATATGGTTATGAATCAACAAGAAAAAAGAAATAAAACATTTAATTCAAAAGTTTAAAATTTTGATAGGTTCCCAAAGATATAAAGGAATAGATGTATTGTACATTATCTATACACTTCCTATTAAAATAAACAAGTCTTTCTTAATCATTGTAGGTATGAAAGTGTTCCCTTCAGAAATTTATAATCTGGTAAGTGATCTAGCTGTTTGTTATTGATGACAAATTTGAGCTAAAATGAAGTATACACAAACTTTTTTGAGAATGGGAATGTTTTCAACAGTAGGAAATAAGAGGAAATAGCATTTGAGTTATTTCTATAAGGATAAATAAATAGTATTGCAAAAGTTGGGCAGATGAGGCAAGGCCATGCAAGGCTGAAGGAAGATAATGAAAAGGCACGGGGATGGGAAAAGCATATTGGAGAACCTGCAAGTAATCTAAATGAAGTGTCAATGAAAGACAAGCTGTAAGGGACTAGGGATGATTTCTGTAAGATTTCCCTAGATAACTTTTCTGGTTTCTCTCTTAGCACTTTTATGACATTATTTCACTTTATCCTTTCTATGATAGCTATGGATTCAAAACTCCTAAGAAATTTATGTTTTAGAATCAGTAGATACCATTACCATAAATGCATATGGTATAATTATGCTTCTGACGTGGCAGGTGTGTAATAGCTAGCTCATGGTAGAATAGCAATGACTTGATTTCCTGCGATTCTGAACATCACTGAAGTGGGTTACCAGAGTTAGCCAAGAGAGAATTAGATGTAATTGCTTGCCTAAAGTGATGTCTTTCTAGTACATCCCCTGAATACAAATGAAGGCAGATTATTTCAGGGAGAAGCATTCTCATTTGGGAGCTGAGACAGATCAAATAAGGGTAATAACTAAAAGGAGACCAAAGTATAGCATGTATACCAGGTGGATATTAATCCCTCTTTGAAAAAATTCAAAAGATAAAAACACTCCTGTCCAAAAGTGTTTTGTTAAAATATTTGTGTTTTGTTTTTATTTTTATTTTTTTTTTACAAAGTCAGTAAATCTTTGTTTCATAGAAATAAGATGAACTTTGTTGCTCTCCTCAGAAGTGCATTTCCACATATCTGCCTGTTCTGCTATCCATTCTATCTCTGGTGAATCCTGTCAGACCTTGCTCCTCTGGCGTACACCCCAGTTTTTGTATATACAAATAAAAAAAATAAATCTTGAAGAAAAAAAAGATGGGCTTGTAAAGACAGTAGTCATTTGACCCTTGTACCATTTTAAGAATTATACTAAGAAAAAAAAAAAAAGAATTATACTAAGGATAAGACTTGAATTTTTAGAAGAAATAAAATTAGCACGTTGCTTTTAGTTTCATTATTTATTTTTTGATTGTTTATCCCCCCTACAATCTTGCTTTATACAATAATTTGAACATAGTAATTTCAGTAATTAGGTTAATTAAATCAGCTTTTAGTAGTAAGATGGTATTAACTTTACTCATTTGAGAAGTACTGGTTGTGTTGCCTCCTACTGAATGCATATATTTTGTTCTCATTTCATTACTATTACTAGCTAACAAAATACGGCTTCTTGCAAAAACTAAATGAGGTAAATATATGTATGTAAGTACCTGGCACATAACAATAGAATCAATAAATCAATTAAAAGAGTTGCAGATATAATTTTAGTTAAATTTGTCTCTTTATGTTGACCTTATTTTGAAGGAGTGTGTAATTATTATAAAGTTGCTACATTTGCCTTACTTACAGACCTTCATAGAGGACTAATAAGTTTTTTTTTTTAAATGTAATCATGATGCTAATTTTTGAATAAAGCTACTCACCTAGACCCTGTATGTCTTATAGAATAAAATAAGTAGATATGACAGAACACAACCAGTATTATGTCTGTTAAAACCCTTTCCTAATATTTTACACAAGTTGCCCTCCACCCCTTTCTCCAGATCATGAACACGACTGTCAATAACTAACTACCATCAGCTATAGTTTATACAATTTGATCCTCAAAATAAAATTATGGGGGGCCCTTCCTGGTGGTGCAGAGGGTTGCACTGCAAAGCTAAGCCAAGCTTCGGCCAGTTCAGTGCAAGTTCGATCCCTGCCCCTGAGGTGTCCCACTTGGCACAGCAGACCTCTCCTGTCTCGCCCACTGCTCCCCTCCGCAGTGTACTTTGTCGATCTGCCTGTTCTGCTCCCCATTCTGTCTCTGATGACTACTCTCACCCCCTGCACCTCTGGACTGTATCCCATTTCTGTATGCATAACTAAATAAAATCTTTAAAAAAATAAAATAAAATTATGGGTAGGAATTATTTTGATTTTACTTATACCTCAGAGAAGGTAATTTTCCTCAGGGTGACATAATAAGGGAGTGACTAAATTAACCTAGTTTTAGTTTACCTAGCTCCAAATCCCCTGTTCTTTCTCTTTCTCTCAACATGAAACCATCTTTCACTAAACGAGTGCTTTTGAAATTCTATTGGCAGAAGACTTGATTACACTGAGCAGAGAGATGTTTATAACACTCTAGAGAAAGACATCTTCCTGCAATAAAAATGAAAGATTAAAAAAATCTATTTAAAATAGCAATTTTTTTTTTCAGTTCTTGTGGAAATGTTATATGTTCGTTTACTGTAAGAAGTTAGAGGAAGATTATATAACATATCCTGGATGTTTAATCTTTCTTCAGGGATTCAGTTTTTTTTCTTTTTTTTAATACCACCTATAAAAGGTTATGTAGACTTGGTAGATTTTCTTCTCCTATGAGAAGTCTTTCTGGTAAGGGTAAAGTAGATGCAAACAGTACAATTCTGTCTTTAAAAAACATGCACTCTACAGCATTATTTGAAAGCACTAAAAGATATTTAAGAGAACCCTGAGAATTCTGAGTGGAAAAACAGTAAAAAAAGTCACATATCAATGTGATACTAAACAGTAGGTAAATACTCTACTGTCCCTCTTTTAAATAGCAGTGCTATTTCTTTTCTTTTCTAAAGATTTATTTATTTTCACATACAGAACTGAGGTACAGGCCAGAGATGCAGGGCAGTGAGAGGCTTCACCAGAGACAGAGTGGGGAGCAGAACAAGCAGATCTACGAAGTACACTGCTGAGGGGAGCAGTGGGCGGGTCAGGAGAGGTCTGCTGCACCAAGTGGTCACCTCCGGGGCAGGCGGGGATTGAACTCATACTGCAGTGGCTTTAGCTTCTTAGTGCTGTGCTTTAACCCGCTGCGCCACCAGGGAGGGCCCAGCAGTGCTATTTCTTAATATGTGAAGGAAAAATCCTTCAAATGCAGGAAACTTTTCTTTACAAATATCTATGAAAACCTCATAGCTCATTCAGGGTACAATAAAACAGTATTAGATGACTTAGATCAGTGGTTTTATTCTCAAATTTTGTTCATTGCAAGAAGCATGCTTTGTTTATTAGCAATATATATAAATAGCCAGCCTTTAACAACTATCATGTCAAACCATCCTCCTATTACTGAAAACATTACTACTATGTTAGTTTTTATTTCCCTCTAATTTAAGATTAACTTTCAATTTTTCTGGCAGGGAGAATTATTTACATAATTGGACTAACTTTGCTTTTACTAATGCAATATTTGACTGTTATTTCTGGTTACTGACAACATCTCTGGTTTTCCACAAATGTGGTCCATAGGACCAGAAGTGGACCTACCCCTTAAAAGTTGGACTGTTTTCAGCACAATGTACCTTTGTACTTTCCCAAGCAAACATAAACTGATCTGGCACTAGTAAGGGTAGCACACTATCCAATGATCTTCCCGTTTTTGTCATGGGATTTATTATTACTGTTGGGGAAAGTCAGCAGCATCCTATAAATTTAGAAGACAGCATGGTAGAGTAAAACCTGAGTGTGAGTTCTAGCTTTATCTCCTGCTTGCTACTTGATTCTGGTGCTGTAATTTAGATTCAATTTCTGAGTTCTTCTACTTCATCAGCTGTATCATTTGGGCATGTAACTTAACCTCTCTTTGATTTTCTCACCAGAAAAAGATCAAGTTCTCATCTCTGATGAAGATT